AAAATCATTTGGTAAGCCACATTCAGATCTTGCTAATGATTCGCCCTTCCAAGCTCTTAGAATCTTCACTAATTTTCTAGCCCGATTAAATGTTTCTTACAAATTTCATTTTCCTTTTGGAGGCTTCTAATTCAGCCAAAATTTGCTTAAGTTATAAAACTATTTAGATAAGTTTCTGGTTCAGAAATTTTCTTGCATTTGCAAATTCCTGTTGGGCGACTTCCAAAATTTATCGAGCTTTATAAGCTTGGATTATTGGATAGTTACTATCATGGGAGATGCTTGTTTCTCTATTAGGTCCTTATTTAAGGTTAAAAAAACTCTTGGACTCTGCTCTTCTTCTCACCTTCGCCAAATTTGATTAAGTATCTTATTTGTTTTTTTCAAATTCTTTCAGCCATTTAAACTTTTATAGAGCTTCTACTACATTCTCTCATGGTTTATAGATAACAAAAAAACAAGTCTGCCTACGCTAAGTGTGTACTCATATTATTCTTATATGGATATTATAACACCAAGATTATTAGCAATTATCATCAATTTGGGCCTCAACAATTGCATATGAACGTTATAATCAATAAGCAACCCTTCAAAATATTTGTTCCAACAAAAAGTAAATCTCCTCTCGCTATTAAAATAAGAAGAATGAAATTGTGGAGAGGATGAACTAAAGGTTCCTAGCATTTACCACTGAACCATTCGCAGTAGCTTTTGTCATACTTGTTGTTGCCACTCTCTTTGTCATGATGGCTTCATTTTTAACAATACCAACTAGCCAATAAGGAATCGATTTTGCATTTTTTTTTTTTTGGGCGTCATATCAATAATCACTTCTCCAAAAGTAAGTATAATATAAGGATTAGTAGAAGTTGCAAAAAAATTAGGATCAATAGTGGTGACTTCGTCAAAAACTTCAGCGAAAATAGCTTGTGAGGCAGCAGTACTACTTCGGTATTCCTCTTCAATGGCTCTTCTTCAGAGGAAATCTCACATTCATTGGCTACTTAGAAAGTCAACATATTAGGATTAGATCTCACTATAGGGTTAGCATCAAAATTCTTGCAAAAACTTGTCAAAATAATCCCTTCTACAAAAAATAGAAATTTATAAGGATTCAAATTCTAAAAGAAAAATATGTGCAACAAGTACTGAGCATACTCGGCCACACCTCCGGATACAAACGCAAATTTGATCATTTGTTCAATTATGTATTAGTAGCAGTCCAACATGTGGTTTCTTCATTTGCACGAACTAAGCATAAAAGACTACAAGAAGCACAAGTGGCGTCAACTTATATGCTTTAAAAGTTTTTTTGGTCTCATCAACCATCTTTTTTCCTACTTCAAAAAGAAAAAAATTATCTTTCACTTAACCTTGTTGTCCAAGTATAGAATCTTGATATAGTTGGAAGAGAATAAAACATAATCAGCTTTGAAAGCTTTACTATATCTACCTGAAGAAGTCGACAATCCATCTTGCCTTCCGCTATAGAAGAAAAATAATAAATAAGACTATGCTAGCAAAAGAATTTGGCATAACATATGCCGAGATCAAACCATAAAAAATTCAAGATTTGAGTGATCTACGAAAAGAAAGAAAACTCACAATCCAAGTCAAAAGTGATCACACAATTAAAACACAACTCATAATCATAGAGTAAGTTAGGGTATTCATCAGACTTTATAGCTCTAATCATGTAGATTTCAACAGCTAAACCATACGAAATCTCAAAGAACTATATGTTGTTCTTAGTTATAAAATGGCAAACTTCAAATCCTCCACTGCAAAGACATCAATGCTCTTAATCAAGTCCGCTACAATCCATTCGAGAGAGAATGAGAAAAAAGTATAAGAAGAAAAAGGTTGCAATAACTGCTCACCATATTCATAGGAAAAAATTCAAAGCCTTTAAATTACATGGTCAAATTCACTGTCACTTTATTGCATCAACATCAAAACAAATGTTAAAAAAATTATATTTTTATCATATTATTTTCACCATTGTAAGAAGCTCAAATGGCGCTTCATCCTTCGACCAAACAAATCTTAGTAAGAACAAGTTCACAATAAAGAACAACTCATGACTAACGAGGTATTTCATAATAAATTTTAACTTCATATAATATGGCCTAATACAAAAATAACAAAAAACAAAATGATATCAAAACTCAAAACAATATTTCAAATACAAATGACAAGATAGGACGATATGCTTTTAACAAAATACTTAATTACAATAAACCAAATAAAAAAGAAGACAAGAAAAACTAAATACATGTTCTCATAAGCTTATTAAAGATTAATTTTCTAAAAGACAACTTAAAGAAGCCATTGCATTTCTGAACTCTTTATTCCAAAGCAGCCCAGCTCCTTCAAAACAAAAAATGAGTTGGATAAAAGCAATCTCTCAAGGAACAGTATTGCATTATATCAAATGGTGGCTTAACCTAGAAGATTCAATAAACTTCCTTGTTAAGATGACCTTAATATTCATTTCATTAACCTCTTAGAGCATTGCCCTACCAACTTCATCTAGCAAAATGGCAGGAAAACTGCTCATTATATCAAGTTTTCCTAACAAGTTGTTGAGCCATCTTCTCTTCACTTCTCTAGAAACTTTGAGCTCATTTTCTCTCAATAATCTTAGCTTCTTGGCCTCAAAATGAACTTGAAGAGAGAAAATACTATCCTTTAGTGATTTGATGCCCGCAAGGAATTTCGAAAATATCCTGATTGAGAACATTATTACTGCCTCATTTCATAAGTGAATCCGCACATTGTTATTTGCCATAGAACTTCTTGCCTGCGCAATGTTATGAGCTTGAAGTTCCTCGTCCTAGGCATCAATGATGATTCTTAAAATTTTAACCAGATTATCATCCTAAAAGACCATATCAATCTCCCTCCCAACCAACTCGAAGATTCCCTGGTAATTCATCCCCAATGAAAGCATCCTTAACAATAACTTCATCAGCAGTTTTTTAACTACTCAATTGTAGAAAGAGTTATCCTGATTTTCTTCTCCAATACTATGGGCCCTCTCAGACGCACCTCTTTGTCGTAACTTGTATGTAAGAGTGAAGTACTTTTAGAAGTTGAACAATTATAGAATGCTCAAAAATCAAAACTTATCATGAGGATCTCCTATTTTAGAATCACTAAGTCAATTATTCAATTCAGAAAACCATGAATTGGAAATATACGAGCAAGCCACCCATTATCCCTTTGGGGGGCAAGAATTGCATTCATTCTTGCCTAGTGGTGCCCAAAACTCATTCATTGTAAATTTTATGACAATATATCCAGATAAAGAAACGAGCATCTTAACCTCTTTAGCTAAGGCGGTGTTGACCTGCGAATAAAAAAAAAGAAGAAAAGAAATCTCTGGGTAGTGTCTTATCTACAAACCCATCTGCCTTCCAAAATTTACCTCGGAACTTCGTTCGTTAAAACTCCCTCGCCGAATAAGAAAAGCGAGCGGAGGCCGGGGCCGAATTTTCGGAGCCCACAGGCGGCCAACAACCTCCTTAAAAGAAATATTTAGCAACAACCACCACAACATTTTTCCTAGAAACATTCTCAAGATTAATCTTCTAGGATTAGAGAGACTAGTATTAGTTGTAGAATCAACTCAAGTACCCTGATCAATAACCTCTTTGGCTGCCTTTGTTGGATCTATCTTTACTTTATTTGGAGGCGTCTTTGGTAATAGCATATCAGATTTGTAATCTTGGAGCTTACAAGTCTATGCTTTCTTATGCTTTCTCAAAAGCATGGCAATCATTTTGGAATTGAAGAAGAACAAAGATAAAGGATATATTCATTGAACTAAATCCCTGAGTAAATGTTTTTAACACCCTTTGATATGGATGTGTCTGACAAGAATAACTAAATACACGTGATTAATCACATTCAATGTGCCAACTCACCGGGATGAGTTAGATCTTGAAGATTTATTCTCTTACTCTATTCAGGATCTCAATTGAGATAAGAGAATTGAGAAACTAACACACTCATATTATTCTAAATTTGGTTAATAAAGCATCATGCAAGCTTGAATCAAGTTCATCAAGTCTTGAACCTTGATTGAACTTAGCACTTGCTAAGGCTGAAATCGTCTAAAGCTATAAGTCACCAAAAAATCAGATCTCATCAAGTAGACAACAAAAGACACTACTAGTCTATAGAGATCAATATACCGAAGTCTTATATTCACCAAATAACCTTCCGAAATTATCTAGGCTTCTATTCCAAGAGTACTCACCCGCTAATCAATAGATCTTACAAGAACTTGACAAAGGCATTTGTCCTATAGAACTTGCCTTCGACTTAGAACTAAAAATAAGTCATCACACTCTTAGGCAACTGTAAACCAATTAAACTTTTTCACTTCACAACCTGCTTCATTAAGTTGTTTTATGTAAGCCTTCTAGTACATCTTAATTATAGTCATTCTTGTAGCATTGAACATTGACCTAAATATATGAATGGGAGGTCAAAGGATGAACTGAGCGCATGGTCATGCCACATTAGTCTTGAACTTTCTGATACTAGAAAATATAAGAAGATCCTAGAGCATATCTCCATTGATTCTCTTTCTCTATCTTCAAGGATCGAACCTCATTTGCTAACAAAGTCCTAGAGTCACCCATAGAAAGATTTAGATCCAACATCATGAGAAATGCTTCTAAATTATTGTGCAAATCTCAAATGCATTTTAATAACTAAACGATGGAAGAAACTAACATGAAGTACGTTTGTAATAACAGTTCAATAGATATGGAATGAAAAACGTAATAATAATCATCTAAAGTTCTAATGACAAAAGTTAAGAAATCATCTTACAGATTTACAATCCATCAAACCACATCTTTCACAATTTGACACTAGCATGCCTAACAAAATGTCGAGGATAGCATATGCAATTAGTGCAACATGCGTAAGTTCCATTACTTTCTCAAATGATTCCCATCAAGTAAAGACAATGCGAATAAAAGTACCTGAGGCAGTTCGGGCCATAGAGTAGATGGGAGATGCTTCCACCAAAGGCATTAATTGCCTAGTAATAGGTCCTATCTGCACAGGAGCATTTCAATAGCATAGTCAGCATTTAAATAATAGCAAAATAGTTTAATATAAATGGAATACCAAATGCATAAGACACCCACATTTTCCATGGAAGAGCAGGGAGGTTTACTTAAGACCTCTAGACCATAATAAAGGAATTGTAAGTAGTTAAATGTATATGATGAAATTCTAAACAACGTAAGAACCAATAAGCTTGAGGCTGATGACAAAAAAAAGCACAACATGGCATCAAATCATATTTATCAATATTAATTTTACAAATTAAACATAAGAAAAAGAAAGCAATGTCAGCTAATCAAGTCATTGGTGACATTTTAATGATTACTGTAAGAAAATAGTACTTTGTGAACCTTTTTATGTGAAAGAAACATAAACGCAGTATATGTGCCAGTTTTGTACTTGAGTTTATGCCAAAAAAACAATCAAATACTAAAAACAGTTTCAAGCAAGGAGAAGCAATAGGAAATAATACGTTCTACATCAATATGCCAATGTCAGTTGGAGTTATGGGAGGATAATCAACTGCACAAAAAATAATCCAGATTAAAAGCCTTCAAGGTGTAAAATGTTAAAAATATGTGTATGTCTTAATGCTTGTAAAAGTGTTAGGTCTCCATAATACAACCATCAAATCTGAAACCTATCACGAAGCATTTATGGTATAGCAAAGTTTACAATGATATATAGATGTTATAGCCTGGTGGTGCATCAAATAATTAAACTGCACGTAAAAAAGTAGTCAGATATACAAAATCAGAAAGAACCTGGGATAGAAAATTGATAAAGTAAACCATTGAACAAAAAGGTAGAATACATCTGATTACACAAATTATAGGTAATTCAAAAAAAATAAAATCTTTCACATACTACACTAGCTCAAGCCTTTATCCCACTGTGGGGTCGGCTACATGAATTTTTTTTTCCATTGTGCCCTATTAAAAGTTAAATTCTCAAATAAATCTAATAAAGAAAGGTCATTTCTAATATTTTCTAACCAAGTCTTTTTAGGTCTACCTCTGCCCTTCTTAACATAAGTCAAATCTAATACATCTACTTTCCTAACCGGGTCATCAGAAGACCGGCATTTTATGTGACCAAACCATCTAAGATGACTCACTAATCTTATCTTCCACTGGAGATATTCCAACATTTTCTTATATGCTCATTTTGTACCCTATCACAAAGAATAAAGCCACTCATCCACCTGAGCATCCTCATCTCTGCAATACTTAACTTAATATTATACTTCTCTTTAAATGGCCAACGTTCTGCACTATAAAGCATTGCAGGTCTAACCATCATCTTATAGAAGTTTTCCTTAAGTTTGAGGTAAACTTTTCTAACACACAACAAGCCCAATGCAATCCTCCACTTCATCCATCCAACTTGAATTCTACTAATAAAATCCCAATGTATTTCACAATCACTCTGAATAATAGACCCAAGATATCTAAAACGTGTACTCTTATTAATGACTTGATCACCCAAAGTCACAATCCCCCAACTAGAACTATTATTACTAAAATCACATTCCATATATTCAATTTTAGATCTACTCAAACGAAAGCCTTTAGACTCTAAGGTTGACCTCCATAATTAAAGTTAACCTTCAACTTCCTCTCTAGTCTTATCAACAAGAAAAATATCATCAGTAAAAAGCATACACTAGGGTACAACCTCTTGCAAATGTCTAGTGAGAACATTCATGATCAAAGCAAAAAAATATGGACTTAAGGCTGATCCTTAATGTAATACAACTAAAATAGGAAAATGCTTGGTCAAACCACCTTGTGTCGGACAAAAGTGATAGCTCCTGCATACACATCCTTAATGACTTGAGTATAAGCATTATTAACCCCTTTATTTTCTAGAAGTTTCCATAGCACTTCTCTTGGAACATTATTATATGTTGTCTCTAAATCAATAAATATCATATGTAGATCCTCCTTATTTTCTCTATACTTCTCCATTAAACCTCTCAATAAATGTATAGCTTCCATAGTAGACCAACCTGGCATGAATCCAAATTGATTTTGAGAAACGTTAATTTCACGCTGCAACCTATGCTCTATAACTCTCTCCCATATTTTTAAAGTATGACACATTAACTTAATTCCCCTATAATTCGCACAATCTTGTACATCACCTTTATTCTTAAAAATAAGAATTAACACACTCATTCTCCACTCATCTGACATCTTTTAAATCTTCAAAATAATATTAAAAAATATTAGTAAGCGAAGAAATTCCTTCTTCTCCTAAGCATTTTCACACCTCTATTAGGATATCACCAGGTCCAACAGCTTTTCTAAACTTCATTTTCTTTAAAGTCTGTCTAACTTCGATTTTACAAATAGGCCGATAAAAATTAAAATCTTAATTTTCATTTAGGATGCTAAGGTCACTAAAGTCGATCGCATTCTCATAATATTCATTGAAGAGTTTATAAAAATATCTCATCCATCTCTGTTGAATATCTTTTTCTAATAAAAGCACTTTTTATCATCATTTTTAATACACTTCACTGGAACTAAATCCTTAGTACTCTTAGCTCATTATTTGGATAACTTATGCATATATCTTTCGCCCTACTAAATATCTAATATAGAATATAAACCATTAAAAGCTAAAATCTTTGCATAGCATATTGCTTTCTTAGACTCCTTACGAGCATCTTTATATATTTCACAATTATTAGAATTTTTACATCTAAATCAAATTTTATAACAAATCTTTTTATTTTTTATCTTTTCTTAAACATTTTGATTCCACCACCAATTCTTTTTACTATTAGGAGATTTTTCCTTTAATAATCCAAGCATATATTTTGCAACATTCTTAATATCATTGATTACTTTTTCCCAATAACATTAGCTTCCTCATGCACAGACAAAATTTTAAGATCTAATATCTTATTCTCAAAAATAATTTTGTTAATATTCTTTAAATATCCCGATTTAATCCTAGAACAATATTTTACTTTATTTGTTATTTTTTGCCCCTTCATCATAAAATCTAAAACTAATTAGCGATGTTGAATACATAAACTTTCACTAAAAATAACTTTATAATCTTTGCATTCTAAACGATCTATTTTTCTTATAAGAAAATAATCAATCTGAGTTTTAATATATACATTATTATAAGAGATGAGATGATGATGAGGACATCAGAGATCAGTGGCTATGATCTGAAGTTTTTTTTGTATTTTATGTACTAGTTTATTTTATATTTCTGTTTTTTTCATTACCCCTAGGAGTGGTCATGTGGTGTTGTAGCCCGAACGACATCTTAGTCATTGTTTCTTTTCTTTTCATTGGGCCTATTTATAGGCTAGTTCTTTTGTATTTTGAGTTAATGATGAATATGAATAAAAATTTCAGCTTTCTTGTTCTTGATCTCTTTGTGAGTTCTTGTCTTGCCTCTTTCCAAAAGTGGAGCATGAAGATTAGGAGGGAGCTCCAACTCAAAATCTGATTTCAAATTCATATTTTGAATTCTTTTCTAAATTGACATAATCCATATTAGGAAAGTGCTCAATTTGTGGATCTAATTACCTAGCCCAAGCCCTTGGCCGCCGGCTTGAAACCTCCACCCGTCGGCCCTTGCTCCACCACCTAAAGCCGCCGGCCACATCCTTCTCCCACACAATAGCCGCCAGCCACATAATTCCCTCCAAACTTTTAAATTCGAATATACCATAAATGCTTTCTTAATTTAGCCCACTAATTTAGGACGAAAATTAAATTCAAATTCAAAATATTTGAATTTCAAAACTCTTCTTAAATTATCCTCCTTTAATTTAGGAAAACCCACCAATTAACTTAAATCTGAAATTAATTTTAGATTTAAGTATTCAATCCTCTTAATTGCTTGGGCCCACCTCCTTAATGCCCAACCCCTCTCTCTCTCCTCTCTCCTTGGCCGGCCCCTTCCCCCTCCTCTCTCTAATTAATTATGTCCCATAAATTAAGGATCTAATTAATTCAATCACATCCCCACTTTCCTTCCTAATTCCCACTCGTTTCAAATTCAGATTTCAAGGAAATTACTCTCTAATTACTCACAAGATCTGAAATTATTTTCAGATTTCCCTTCTTCCCCTTTGCCTGGCCGAACCTACCTAATCCTTTCCCCCTCTCACACTCTACTTTCTCTCTTAGACAATCATGCATGACAGACCCGGATGTTGATCATGGGTTCGTAGATGATTCTCTGGATCGGACCGACATTCTTCGATTTCAATTTGGTCAACATCTCCGTGGAAAGCTATATTGAACACATCATCTTCAGGTTGGCACCGTCAATTGAGGAACACCTCCCAACCGGATCGTGGATGATCGTGGGACATCAACCAATCCATCCGTCGCCAGCTACCTTCGGTGAACTCTTTCCCTCACTCTTTATTTTCCTCGTTACTTTCAATTGTTGAATTTAATAAATTCACTGAGATCATTTTAGTCCTCCGCTAAAGTCTAGTACATTATAGAGTTGTGTGAGGGATCCTTCATAGCATTAATCTCATTGTTAGTCTAGGAATTTCTTATTGAAACTTTCCATGTATGCAATGTTAAACTATTGATTGTTTTACGGGCTTAACTCCACATGTGATTTAGCCTAAGCTTATGTCACCGCTCTTTGTGTTTTATGTTGTCGTTCGAAATTACTATAAATACATAATTATTATGCTCTAAATATTAAACATGCAAATTCATTAATCTGATCATCCTTGCATGTTTGGTTTCACACCAGATGATCATCTCTATTCTTAAAAAATGTATTAGCAATTAAAAAATTGTAAGCTAAAAAGAAATCTAATATGGTCTTACCGCCTTCATTAGTCGCTCCAAATTCATAACCATCATGAATGCTTTTAAAATCATATATCTATCTACCAACATGTCCATTTAACTCTTCTCCAATAAATTTTTTTCTTCAAGAGGTATAATTTGTATTAATTTTCTAAGTTATTCCAAAATTTTAATTTT